GGAAGAAGAAGGACAAGTTCTTGGAGGCTGGCAAAAGCAGGTAAAACACAGTATCTGGCATGTGAAGCAAGCGTTGATGGAAGTGAGATCTGCTTCATAAAAATACCTTACATAGAATTGAATAGAGGTCAATCACTAATGTCTTAAAATTAATTTTAATTCATTCTGTCTAATTCAGTGATTCTCTTGGCTGTGTATGTCCAAGGTTTCAGATGATGCCCAATGGTTCTTTGATCATTCACGATGTCATTATGGAGGACACTGGCAGCTACACGTGCATTGCTGGGAACAGCTGCAACATTGCACACACATCTGCAGAGCTTTATGTCGTGGGTGAGCTGTCACTGAACAGAACACAAGGCAACCATCGTGTCTCTCGTGCCATCTTCAGCAATGAAAAGTTTTCTTTTTTTTTTTTTTAAACAAAGTTATAATATCCATATTGCTCTTTATATTATGCATTCTTGTTTGTCTGTTTTTAAGCAATCATACATGAATATTTCAAAGATCTAATAGAAAATAATTCGTTTTTCATTTGTAGCTAGATTAAGCACATTGTATGTTTGAATTCCTGTTTGATTCATTTAAATTAGGAATGTGACTGATGTCAATTTTTATTTCTGCTATGGAAAAGAAAGATGCATCAGAGAGGTTTAGAAGCTGTCTAGGTTAATTGTGGCCTTAATTTATGATGGTCAGGCCCTCAGTCCATACTATGTGTCACTTGACTTCTGTTACTAGGTTATTTGGTCAGGAATTAAAAGACCCTTTCAGCTGGATGAATCTATAGAGCTGTGTGAGAGAGAGAGACAGATTGAGAGCATCAAGGGTGAGGCCAGAGGGATGATTTTTACTTTGCATGTGAATAACTCTGCATATGGTTTATTTTGTTGGCTACAGAAAAGCCAGTGCAGCACTCCATGTCAGATGATGAGAAGGCTCCCTATAAGATGATCCAGACCATTGGCCTGTCAGTGGGGGCAGCTGTTGCTTACATCATCGTTGTACTTGGCCTTATGTTCTACTGCAAGCAGAGGCGCAAAGCCAAAAGATTACAGAAGAGCAGAGATGAGCCTGAAATGGAATGTCTCAATGGTGTGTGTTAAAAGCTGTTAAGTTTGTCTTGAAAAAATCAGCCAAACATGAAAATATTGCTTAAAAAACAGAAAGTCAACTCAAAGATAATTTAGGCAAATGATTGTTGGATGGTGTGCCACGCTAATGCAGTTGTTGATTAATCTTTAGGAGGAGCAGTGCAGCAGAATGGCCAGACTACAGCAGAGATTCAAGAGGAGGTGGCACTGACTAACATAACAGCCACTGGAAACAACAAACGCCACAGCACTCATGACAAACTGTATTTTCCCCGTGCTAACCTCCATCCTATCACAACCCTGGGTACTGTCGTACTGCATTCTTGTCCATCAGGAAATACTTAAATACTTAATAATGGCTATTTGGTTAATACTGAACTGTCTGTTAACTGTCTAGACCACCACATCCACCACATCTTGAATTATTGTTGAAGAAAAAGCTGTCAGACAAATGAGTTTGATAAAACCAACTGTGTGTGTGTACTTCCTAAGGTAAGGGTGAGTTTGGGGAGGTGTTCCTAGCCAAGGTAAAGACTGGTGAAGATGAGAAGGAGACAGTGGTTCTAGTGAAGGGTCTGCAGACACGAGATGAGCAGCTGCAGATGGATTTCCGTCGCGAGAGTGAAATGTTTGCTAAACTTGGCCACCCTAACATTACACGTTTACTGGGCATGTGCAGAGAGACTGAGCCATACTACATGATTCTGGAATATGCCGATATGGTAACTCATGCTTTCCCCACCGTAGAGTTATTCTAAGCAGAAAGTATGTAAAGAAGGTATTACATTATGCTTTAGTTGGTCATACTTTTCATTTGGATCGTGTTTAAATTAACTCTACTTTGGTTACTTTGGATGCACTTCTTTTTATTCCCACATAATATTTCACAGTGGGCAAGTTGTCTTTTTTAAGAGTACATTAAGGTGTGACCATAGCTTGTTATGTTGCCTCTTTTCCAGGGCGATCTGAAGCAGTACCTGAAAATCTCCAAAAGTAAAGATGAGAAAGGCAAGAACAGGCCACTTGGCACCAAGCAAAAGGTAATGTTGTTCTACAAACACCTAGAAATCAGTGCTTACAATTCACACTCATTTGTTTGTTTAAGCATTGTACAAATATTCAGTTATGTTCATACTCGCACGCGCTCACAATGTCTCCTGTCCTGTGTCTCTTCCCAGGTGTCTTTGTGTCTGCAGGTTGCTTGGGGAATGGAACACCTCTCAAATCAGCGCTTTGTCCACAAGGACCTGGCTGCACGCAACTGCCTCATTAGTGCAAAGCGGCAGGTCAAAGTATCTTCTCTGGGCCTCAGCAAAGATGTCTACAGCAGGTTAGTTAAAAGCATTAATAGATATTTTTTACCTGAAATCATTTACATAAAGGTTTTCTTACACAGAGGGTGGATGTCATTTTGTGAATGTGAATCACTGACATTGTACTACATATTTTTCTCTGTGTTTGTGTGTGTGTTTGTGTGTGTGTTTGTAGTGAGTATTACAATTACCGTCAAGCCTGGATCCCCCTACGTTGGCTTCCATCCGAGTCCGTGTTTGAGGATGACTTTTCCACTAAGACAGATGTGTGGTCATTTGGAGTGCTCATGTGGGAGGTCTTCAGCTTTGGAGAGCTTCCACATGCTGAACTAGCTGATGACAAGGTGCTGGAAGGTAAGAAAATATATATATATATATATATATATATATATATATATATATGTATGTATGTATGTATATTTTTTAATTCACTAATACTGTTATTGCACATTCTCCAACAAACAAAAACAGGCTAATGTTTGCAGTTGGCTTTATACCAGAATGTAGACTGAGGAGCAGTATGAACCAGTGTGAAAAGGGCAGAACATTTCAGACCAACTAACAATCATACAAGTGTGGCCCACCACCCCAACGTTTAAGTTTGTTGTGTTCATTCAAAAACATTATCTCTGGACTTACAGATAACTTTATGGTCTGTAAAGAGTAAAATAAGCAGCTTTATGTCTTAAGAACAACTTTACTATTAAAGGTATATGGACCAAAATGCATATATACACAGAGCTGGAGGGTTTCATGTTATCCATTATCAACAATGCTCAGAAGGATATCTTCTTTATTCTTTACCCAGCAGCTGTAACCACAGTCACATTAAATTACTAAGATGTCTGGTATACTCAGGAGTTTTAATTTCGCTATGTTAATATTCAGATGTTTTAACAAGTGCTGGTTCCCAGGTGCCCATCCCAGTCAGCTCAGGTTGTCCACAGCTGTGCTCTGAGCTGCTTGGTGAAGATGAGCAGGCTGTTTGAAGCAGTTCTCAGCTGCTTGGTAACTTGAAGAACCCCTTTTCTTTGTTCTAATGCTAACAGTCTTTGGCTCTCTATATGGTCTAGGGCTTCAGGAGGGAAAGTTGAAGCTGTCCCCACCACAGGGATGTCCCTCCAGAGTGTACAAGCTTATGCTGCGCTGCTGGGCTGCCAGTCCCAAGGACAGAGCCTCTTTCAGCGACATTGTCACAGCCCTCAGTGAGCTTCCCTCTGAGAGCAAGGTGTGAGAAGAAGAAGGATGGTGGTGGGACTGAGGGACATCGAACAGAATTGGTCTGCCAAGACTATGAAAGCCATAGTCATAGATTAGATCCCTCTCTCAAGGAAAGAGAACCAAACTGCTTCTGAGCAAAAGCTGGATTTTGTGTTTTTTAATATCTTTTCTACCTATCAACCCAGCAAATGGGTGGACTTTGTGATGAAGTTATTCTGTACCTTTGGACAAACATATGGCATAATAAGATGGTTCTGAACTACAGTTGTAGAAATAATTATCATGTCAGCTCTGCTAAATTGTGCCTTCAGGTTAGACTGAGCAGGAAGAGTTATATGTTCACACAGAGTGCAGAGTACATTTGTTATACATTGTTAAAACCATGCACTGATCATTTTTTACATTGTTGTATTATAGAAGGGTTGTTCCAGGAACCTCTTAATTTATTTTAAAGGTCCTGTTTGTCTACACTGTACAGAAAGGTACTGTTTATATTCATTTTATTTTAGATGTTTTTAGAATTCAGAGTACTCTGAAGCTGATTTAAAGTTTGCTGAGGCAAAGGTTAAGATGACTTGAGGTCATTGATATGAACGTTTCAATTCAAGTGCCTGTAAAATGAAGGATATGCTGTATTAGTGTACGTTTTATGCCGAATCTTTTTAAAGGCTTTGTATTTTTTTGCTGATGTTTTTATACTATTTTTTTTTTCATTTATTGTTACAGCTATATGCTTGGTTTGTGTTAAAAAGAGGTTTGACTCAAAAAAGGAACCAATAACAAATATTCTGCTATAATGCAATAAAGCTTCACTTTTTACAAAATGTGCTTTGTCTTTTGTGTATATTTCATTATTTGTTGGATTTCCTTCATGCAGCTGTCTATGATGCAGTACCAGCCGGACTACACGGCTATGTTACATGAGTAAACTTGCTGTTTGCCTTAATGGACCGGATGAAATCGTTCCGGATTCATTTTAAACGCAGGGGTTGATGAAGTCGCTAGAGGGTGATGTCCCCAATGCGTTTGTGTGAAAGGGCCCTTCTGGACAGAACGCTTAGATTATTAACGTTATTAATTAACGTATGCTTCTCTTCTCACATTAAACAGTATTTCTATGTTAGAAATAGATGCATATAATCGGTAACGGTGTTAAACAAAATTTTATCTGCGTGAAAAAGATTCTGTTTATATAGACAACGTATCATAACCATTTATTTTAAATATTACAGTATATTTCTGCTAAGATTTATATTATTTAATATTGCTTAAGTCCATATTTACTATTTGTCTTATTAGCTACGGAAGACTGAATGCATCTTCCTCCCCCTCTGTTCGTGCTCTGCTGTGTCTATCAGAGTGGATCAGGGCTGGAGTCTGAAGCCTGAAGTCCGTCCGCTTCACTCTGCTCTGCTCCTGTTCATCCACCCAGCAGCGCTGTACGTATTCTTGTTCAGAAGTTACCTGGAAGCGCATCTTCTTTTCAGACGGAAGGGTCACTGCCTCCGGCTCATGTCGGCTCAGACGGGGATATGCTGTTGTCTGCTTGGGACTGGTAGTGCGGTTTCATCAGTTAGGCTAGGAATGCCTGTGTAAAGGGCTGGAAATTTATATCATCCTCTCGTAGCGCTCGTCCTTTTGCTGCCTAGCCCAGCGCTTTGCTAAGCGGCCTAAACGTACAAAATGTCGACCAGAACGCCATTGCCAACTGTTAATGAGCGCGACACGGAGAATGTGAGTACATGTAACGTTAGCACTCTTATGTTTTGTTCTATTTACGTGTTGTTTGCACATCCATCCGGGTTGAATTTGCTTCATGGAGAGTGATGTTTCACATCAGCTAACTAGCTAGTGCCCATCTCGGTAGCCAGCTAGCGACCTAGCTAATGTCCTAATAATGTGGAGGCTCTTTTTCTCCTCTTATCTTGCTAATACAGCTTGTGTTGACTCGCAACAGTCTTTATCCAACAAGCTCTCAATCACAAGTACCCTCGCTATTAGTAAACAGTCTTATGCTCTGTTCCTTTAGACAGGCTAAGTTAACGTTCATTTTTGCCCAAATCTAAAGATTCTAGAAAGAAAAAAGCGTTTAAGCTAGCTAGCTGACTAACCTAGTAACCTAAAGATAGAGGGGCTCAGGTGCATAGCGATGCTCCTCGTCCTGCCAGTGCCTTGCGCTAGCCATCCAACGTTAGCCGGCTGGCTGTAGCTAACTAGATAGGAACAATACGAGTTTGACAGTATTGCAGCAAAATAAAGAGGAATCGCAGGGTTTTCCCCTTCATGATTAGGTCATCTCGTGTTCACTGTGACTAAGTACTATATTGCATTGTGTTTTTTTTTGGTGTATAAATAGCCAATTATTAATGGCTCAGTAATCAGTTCACTGTCTTTCGTTCTTTATCTTTACGGCCAATACGGGCAGTGCGATGCAACATTCTCTGGAGGTTCTTAGAAGCATTCCCACGATGCCCTCCAATTATGGTGTTATACGTTCCTAAAATCAGGACTTGTGCATAAGTGATCATGTGGGGACTCTAATGGGATAATTCAATTATGGTATGTAGTTAACAACACAAATGCTTAGTAAGCATGTTTTTGCATGCGTTATTAGAAAATTAAATGCGCCCGTTGTTGTTCATGTATAGCCACTAACGCTAATTGTTTTAAAAAAGTTGAAATCCTGTTTAGAATAGTGACTCTCAATTCCCAATGCACAGTGTTTTTTAGTTAAATACCTAAACATCGCCATCAGTTACAGCTGTCAAGGATGACAACTAATTAAAAATGAATTTAGGGCTGCGCATACACTATTCAGTTTATCGCATGTTACCTCTAGGCTGATAGATATGAGAAATATGTAACAGTTTGTTTAGGAACTGCAGTTACCATGTCTGGACTTTGTTTAAGGTGTCTTTCCACGGTTCTTAACTGTGCAGTCAAATCAGAACTTCCTTCCTGTCCATAAAATCTTGCAGGACTGTACTATTTCATCAGACATCGCAGTGTCTTTTCACTGAAGGTGCACCACACTGCTGTTTCCTCCCACAGATAGGATTGGAAGGAATTATGTGCCCTGTGGATTTAGCAGTTGTAAAAGTTGTCTGAATCTAAGTTTAGTTTACTAGACTCATACTGTTATTATCATTCCGGTTTGATGCCATGATATGAGTCTGGTTTTACTTATCTACTAAGAGCACGTTTTAATTACTAAGAGTAAGAGTTTACTGATATGAAATCAGTAAACTTGGGATGCCTTGTAATGATGAATACTAATACTGCTTCCAGACCATGTTTGATCTTTGTTTGATTATGTGCTGATTTAACATAGGGATCAAGGCTGTTTTAGGAAACCTTGCTGTAAATTTGTGAATCTGCACAGGTCTCTGAACTCCCAGGGGCAAAGAGGTGTTCATTGCAGTTTGACTTAGAAAGGTTGGTGCCTCTACTACATTTCAGTCAAATGCTCAGGTGATGTGATTTTTCATAAATCATAATTTCTACCCTTCAGGTATTTTCTCTAGTGATTAATGACAATTAATTCCAGTCAAAAAACAAATGGTCACAGGAAACACAGGCTCAGAAAATGCCTAATAATCAATAGTTTAGGTTGTACATTACAGTTAATTTAATAAATGTACTAATTTGCTCCATGCTCATGATGTTGCACTCTTTGCTGCTGTAAAAATTTATCATGGGTCTCAAGATTTAGAGGACAGTTTGCTATAAGTTTGACCTTCTCTTTTAGCCTGCTATGCTGCTTCTGTGTCCAGTGGAACAGCGTGAGACATGTGCTAACAGCAGTTAGAGAACCCAAGCTGGCAGGAAAGGTCTAACAACTGGTGTGATTTACACCAAAACGCTGAATGGACCTGCACCAGTAACACCATAAAACAAGATCATTAGATTGTCTGCTTGAGACTTCTGCTTTCAGGCTCTTCTCAGCTTTCTAAAGAAATGTCCTGTAGGATCAAAATTGTTGGACCAACATGACACAGACCACACAGATTCCTGTTACCATTGCTACAATTAAGCAAATTCATGTAGATGGATCATTTTCTTATTACCTTTTCTGAATTTCTTTTTTGTCTGCAAAAAGCATGGCCAGAGAGTGAACTGTATGACAAAGATATACTTAATTTTGTTGTTAATTGTTTCTAGTCAACTCCTGTTTTTCAGGAAAAAAATTACACCAGGTCAGAGGTTCTCAGTCCTGACCCTGGAGTGCTACTGCCCTGCACCTTTTAGAGTTTCCTCCTTCCTCTCCTGATGCAACTAATTATGTAGCCCTTCCTAAGGTGAGCTGAGTCTGTTAGAACAGGAAAACAAAACATGCAGGGCAGTGGTACTCAAGGAGCAGGCTTGACAACCACTGCACTAGGTGTCAAAATGTATATATTTTTTGTGTGCTTGAGTGTCAGCTCTTCAGAGGTAAAACTCTGCCCTGCAGAACTTGCTGTTTCCCTGCTCAAACACCTAGATTGGTCTTGTCAGGTAATTAACAAGCCCTCCTCACTAAATAGGGAATGGGCAGGGAAAGCTCTTAAATGTGTGGGGCAGAGGGTACACAGATTTCTAACCAACTCTCTTAAAGCAGGGCTGTCAGAGTATTTCTGTGTTCTTTTGGGTACTGGCATTACAAAAGGTAAAACACACTGGCATGTTTGTCTATGTGTGATAGCAGGCCTTTATTAATCATTAGTTTTAGCTTTCTTTTAATTGCCATATAAATAATTGTGATGAACAGTTAGCTTTTTTTGTTCTTTGTATGCAACTATTAAAGTACAAGGTTAGCTGATTAGCTTTGTTCCTACCAGTGAATATTTGGTAGCTTCCAACTGATGTCAGTTATAGTCAAACTCAAATGAACAAACATTCTCACCACTGCCCTCTACAGGTGTAATTGCAACAGTCACAACTTTGACTAGAACCCATGGGCTGTGTCTGAGTACCAATACAATACCTACCTATACAATATTCTTAAGCAGGAAGACACCCAGACAAGTCTGAACCTAATGTTTATAAAAAATGCTGTCTGTGGAGGTTCCTCTGTTCGGCTGTTTTTTTGAAGGCAGTGTAGATGTATCCTTGCTGCCTTACATATCTCAAAATCCTCTATGTCCGCACTGATGCGGTTAGAAAAAAATAGCAGAAAACACCAGCACTGACACAGTGGACAATGCTGTCTTCTAAGTTAGGGTTTCTCAAGCTGTGAGCCATGAAGCTCCCTCTGGTGGGCCTCGGGCCTGTACTCAGAGGGAGGCAGTAATTTGCAGCTGGCCGGTAAATTCACTGTAAGTCATAAAAGCATAAGTGGGAAAAAGATTAACTTAATAATTAAAAATTTATAAATTAGCCGTTGTCACATTATAACCAACATAAATATTAATAGAGAAGTACAAATAAAAACGTTGCAGTGGAGGCCTGATTAAATGTCATCAGTCTGAGACAACGCAGCCGCGGGCATGTGATGTAGACAGCAAGCCAGAGATGGAGAAGTCTCTCAGGGTGCTTTGTTTGGTGTGGACTTATCACACCTTTTGCTTTAGTTCACTCTGTTTTGACGTGTGAACACCCCACCCATATTCGGGTCTGCAACAAGCAACTGAAACGGTCCCACAGAAACCGCGGATCTCGGTCCACTACAAACCGAACCCTGTTCAGTTCACTGCTGGTGGAAATGCGCTCTCTGATCAAAAGAGGGAAGTGGAGCTTGCTCTCCTTCTCTTCTAGAGGCACATCGGCGCCGTACAATCAGTCTTACGACTGTTTCAACGGCTGACTCTTACAGACTCAGTGCAAGCTGCTGTTAAAAACAATAGACATAAAATAATAGCGTAGAGATGCATTTGATTTTAACTCAGGGATCGTAGCGGAGCGTCTTTAGGCCGAGCATCAGCGACCTGAGTGGTTAAACTCAAACTGATAAAACAGTGACAAAGAAGCAGATATCAAGTAAGATTTATCATTATTGTTGATTGTGCTAACGCTAATCAAAAAGCTTGGTGGAGTGTGCTTTCAAATAAATCACCAAAACCTTCAAAACTAAAGAGACATCTGGAGACCAAACGATTGTGTTTTCAGTGAAAATGCGATGAACCGCAGCTCCAAATCACAGTCCACATCTACCTCTATACATTTCTATTCTTTTTTTTTTTTCCCCTGTTTTTATCATCAGAATGGGTGATCCAATCTTTTTCAGGCCCTAAATCTCAGGTTTTCAGTATCAGCATTTAAGAAAAGAAAAAAGTTGTATTCAAAGAAGTTGGTTTTAGTTTTCCTGTGGGACACTGTGCTTTGTAGTTATACACAGGTGGGCCTTGGGGTGGAAAAGGTTGGGAACCCCTGTTCTAAGGCACTGATTTGTGAGACGGTCCCGGCAGTAGGGCATTGAGACAGCTGCCTTTAGATTTGGACACAGCCATGATGTGTCTCAATAAATATATTTTCTTTCATTTACATACATTTGCCCCAATCCAATTGATGATAATGCAGTCATATCACTTGCTGTGACTTACGTTTGTAAAAGCAATTATACAGTTTTGGAAATCGTTGCCAAAGTGTGATTTGCACATTTTGATGCTGATATTAGTTTTAAACTGTTTGTGTTTAAACTGGCTCTTTTCAATTTTGGTGCCATGTTTTAAATTAGTGTTTGATGTTATCTCACTGAGACTTATGTAGTTCATCAGGGGGCATGGGTTGGTCTCCCTGAAACTGGGTGGGAATGTACT